CTGTCGGTGCGCCCAAGCGGGAGAAGGACCCTAAGAAGCGTGTGGTGATTACTGGAATGGGGCTTGTCTCTGTGTTCGGCAGCGACGTGGATGCTTACTATGACAGGCTGCTTTGTGGTGAGAGCGGCATCACTCTCATCGACCGGTTTGATGCTTCCAAATTCCCTACACGCTTCGGTGGACAGATCCGGGGATTCTCTTCGGAGGGCTACGTTGACCCCAAGAATGATAAACGGCTTGACGATTGCTGTCGCTTCTGCGTTGTTGCTGGCAAGAGGGCGCTCGAGGATGCTAACCTCGGTGGATATCAGCGCTCTAAGGTCATTTCCTAATTAACTATTGGTTATAAATAATCCATAAAGTAATTAGCTGTAATTATTGAAAACAGTAAAAAATGAGATAGAAAATAGAATTTAGGAGGTGTGTATTGTAGTTGATATTGGTATTCTTTAAATAGGATACCAGTACACATCAGTAAAATATAAAATAATTAAATAACTGAGAATAAAATCAAATCAAATCAAAGAATACTAAGATAAATATCTAAGATATATTCCATACATAAAATATCTCAACAAAAACAAAATTTTAGCAACTTAATTTAATTAATTCTAATTAACTAATTAAATATATTCCAAATATTTTTAGTTAAGAATTAATTCCATTTCTTTAATATATAGTTTGGTAAATTATGATTAATTTATGGTTTTATTTTTACCATAGATCAACATGGTGCGTGCTGGTGTGCTTATTGGAACAGGGTTTGGTGGTCTTACCGTCTTTTCTAACGGTGTTCGGACATTGTTAGAGAGAGGTCATAGGAAGATAACCCCTTTTTTCGTTCCTTATACCATTTCAAATATGGGGTCTGCCTTGCTTGCCATCGATGTTGGTTTCATGGGTCCCATTTATTCTATATCCGCGGCTTGTGCCACCTCTAACTATTGCTTCTATGCTGCTGCTAATCACATCCGTCGAGGAGAGGCTGATGTGATGCTTGCGGGTGGAGTGGAAGTTAGCATGATTCCTATAGCATTGGGGGGTTGTTAAGGATATTTAGTAATAAATTATAGTTTACCATATATATTAGATTTGATATTTTATTATAAGGCAAATATCTAACATTTGCCTTATTACTATAGGTATCTTTCCATTTATTGTTATTTCCA